ATCCCAGTTGAATTCCCGATCACGGCCAATATCATTGGCGACATGTCACATCCCTCTCCTCGCACGCCGGAGGACATGGGCTCGATCACGGACCCTGACGATGCCTGTCATATTTGGAGTTCGCGTGTTTTTTTTTAAATCTCCCTGTTCTGTACAGTTGGAGTATGTGTTAGTGTGTTAGTTTGTGTAAGCCAGTGTGTTAGTGCTGGTCTGTGTGAGTGAATGTGTGTGAGTCTCTTAAGACTTATAAGGGGGATCGTTGCTGTGTTTGTGTAAGTTTGAGTGAGAGTCAGTGCGTTAGTCTGTGTGAGTGATTGAGTTAGTCTGTGTGAGTTAGTCTGTGTGAGTGAGAGTGATTGAGTTGGTCTGTGTGAGTTAGTCTGTATGAGTTAGTCTGTGTGAGTGAGAGTAATTGAGTTAGACTGTGTGAGTTAGTCTGTGTGAGTGAGAGTGAGTGAGTTAGTCTGTGTGAGTGAGTTAGTCTGTGTGAGTTAGTCTGTGTGAGTGAGAGTGAGTGAGCTGGTCTGTGTGAGTGAGTCTGTGTGAGTGAGTTAGTCTGTATGAGTGTGAGTGAGTGAGAGTGAGTGAGTTAGTCTGTGTGAGTGAGTGAGTTAGTCTGTGTGAGTGAGTGAGTTAGTCTGTGTGAGTGAGTGAGTCTGTGTGAGTGAGTTAGTCTGTGTGAGTTAGTCTGTGTGAGTGAGTGAGTTAGTCTGTGTGAGTGAGTGAGTTAGTCTGTGAGTGAGTTAGTCTGTGTGATTGAGTTAGTCTGTGTGAGTGTGAGTAGGTGAGAGTGAGTGAGTTAGTCTGTGTGAGTGAGTTAGTCTGTGTGAGTGAGTGAGTTAGTCTGTGTGAGTGAGTGTGAGTAAGTGAGAGTGAGTGAGTCTGTGTGAGTGAGTTAGTCTGTGAGAGTGAGTGAGTCTGTGTGAGTGAGTTAGTCTGTGTGAGTGAGTGAGTTAGTCTGTGTGAGTGAGTGTGAGTAAGTGAGAGTGAGTGAGTCTGTGTGAGTGAGTTAGTCTGTGTGAGTGAGTGAGTGAGTCTGTGTGAGTGAGTTAGTCTGTGTGAGTGAGTGAGTTAGTCTGTGTGAGTGAGTGAGTTAGTCTGTGTGAGTGAGTGAGTTAGTCTGTGTGAGTGAGTGAGTTAGTCTGTGTGAGTGAGTGTGAGTAAGTGAGAGTGAGTGAGTCTATGTGAGTGAGTTAGTATGTGTGAGTGAGTGAGTTAGTCTGTGTGAGTGAGTGTGAGTAAGTGAGAGTGAGTGAGTCTATGTGAGTGAGGTAGTCTGTGTGAGTGAGTTAGTCTGTGTGAGTGAGTGTGAGTAAGTGAGAGTGAGTCTATGTGAGTGAGTTAGTATGTGTGAGTGAGTGAGTTAGTCTGTGTGAGTGAGTTAGTCTGTGTGAGTGAGTTAGTCTGTGTGAGTGAGTGAGTTAGTCTGTGAGAGTGAGTGAGTCTGTGTGAGTGAGTGAGTTAGTCTGTGTGAGTGAGTTAGTCTGTGAGAGTGAGTTAGTCTGTGTGAGTGAGTGAGTTAGTCTGTGTGAGTGTGAGTGAGTCTGTGTGAGTGAGTGAGTTAGTCTGTGTGAGTGAGTTAGTCTGTGTGAGTTAGTCTGTGTGAGTGAGTGAGTTAGTCTGTGTGAGTGAGTTAGTCTGTGTGAGTTAGTCTGTGTGAGTGAGTTAGTCTGTGTGAGTGAGTGAGTTAGTCTGTGTGAGTGAGTTAGTCTGTGTGAGTGAGTGAGTTAGTCTGTGTGAGTGAGTTAGTCTGTGTGAGTGTGAGTTAGTCTGTGTGAGTGAGTGAGTTAGTCTGTGTGAGTGAGTTAGTCTGTGTGAGTTAGTCTGTGTGAGTGAGTGAGTTAGTCTGTGTGAGTGAGTTAGTCTGTGTGAGTGAGTGAGTTAGTCTGTGTGAGTGAGTTAGTCTGTGTGAGTGAGTGAGTTAGTCTGTGTGAGTGAGTAAGTTAGTCTGTGTGAGTGAGTGTGAGTAAGTGAGAGTGAGTTAGTCTGCGGGCTAGGCGTTGGTGCTACCACCCCCTCGTACCCCACGCGCCCGTCTATCAATAGGCGCTCGCTAACAGCGTGTGCAGGCTACACGTGGCCTCTTTGTGTGTTTGTTTGCCGTTGCACGTGCGGGTATTACGACACAGGGTTAAGGCGGGGTGAGTAGGGTGTGAATAGGGGGGGGGGGGGTGAGTTGGGGGCGAGTAGGGGGGGGGGTGAGTCGGGGGTGAGGTGCATGGGACGAGTTGAGTGGTGAGTCGGGGTTCGTTGAGGGGTGAGTGAGAGGTGTGAGTGGGGGTGTGAGTGGAGGTGAGAGGACGGGGTGAGCAGGGGTGAGTGGAGGTTAGGTGAGTGGAGGTGTGAGTGGTTATGAGTGTGGGGGCAGTAGGGGTGTGAGTGAGTGAGGGGAGGGGTGAGGGGGGGGGGTCATGGTGATGACCTGTGAGTGAACCCACGCGCCACAACGTGACTCACGGAGCAGAGCGGTCAAGGTGTTTACAGGCGCAGCACAGGTGTGACTCAAACGAGTACCCGGCGCGGTGTGTAAACACCGCCGCTAGGGGGACAAAGGCGGCCGGGCGTGGTGCTGACCACCCACCCCCTCGTGTGCCGTGCCGGCCTCCAAAGGCGTTGCGCGAACGGCACTTGCCCTAACACTCAGCGAAGGTTACGCGGGGGATCTTTGTCTTTATAATTTGTGCATTGGGTTCAAGAGCTGGAGTCGAACTTGGATGTGATCTCTGCGGTCGTTTCCCGGCCACGAGGCCCGCCTTTAGGTCATCACTCCACCCCCCTCCCTCGTGTGTCGCATCGGCCTTAATGGGCGCTCGCTAACAATGTTGGTTAGAAGCAGTGCGGGATTATCCTGGTAGCAAAAGTAGCTGCATATGCTATGGGCCCCGCACTTTCAAGGGCCTCGTGCTAAACGCTTTCAAGCTATCAATCCCGGTTCAGTGATTCTGCACTTGCTCTATTACTATAGTACTATACCGCCTTAAACTTTTATGAACGACTGGGTGTTTAAGGTTAGCGATTTGTCGTATTTTCTGGCCGTATAGCAAATGAAAAAAAAAATATTTACTATGCAAGTTAAAAATGCGTGTGTTTTAATATTTACGTTTTTTCTCTCAAAATTTAGGGCCCCTCTATAACATATGCTACAGGTCCCGCACTCGCTTAATCCGGCACTGGTTAGAAGTGAGAGTTACCTTTGTCTCAGTTCTGAGCATTTAATTGGACGTTCATGAGTGGAGTGTTTTTGGTTGCGGCGCAGATCACCGCACGAGCTTCAGTGATTGGTACTGTCACCGGTGCGACGTGTAAAACATCAGCACTGGGAAGACAAAGGCGGTCGGCCGTGGTGCATGCCACCCGCCTTCCTCGTGTGCCGTGCTGGCCTTCATAGGTTCTATATGTACGTGCGTTGAACTTATTTTGCACCGTACGTAGCCAACCGTGCTAATCGGAGGTGTAGTGTTGCATGTACGTGCGTTGAACTTATTTTGCACCGTACGTAGCCAACCGTGCTAATCGGAGGTGCTGCTCGCTAACAGTAGTTGTTACCGTCACAGGCTGTGGGCAAAGGAGCCGCGTTAGAACGGAGGAGGAACGTCGTGAAATTCAGAGAAAGATTTCCGACGATTTTTTTTTTACTGTTAAACTATTTTTGTTTTACCAGGTAAGGCCCACGGAGCAATGTAGCTCTTTATCAGAAGCTCAACGAAGTGGGCTTATCATCGTGTGGATATTTATAGCGGTAGCCGATGTTGATTCTAAATGTGAAGGGAAAACCCGCGGAGGACCACTGGGAGAGAGAGAGAGACGCAACTCCAAATATACAGCAGCAGGCGTCAGGATCGGGAACGAACCCACGGCCTCCTGTATACCAGGCGAGGTAGTTAACATCTCATAGCCACCGTGGCGGCTCGACGTTTACGCTGGAAATTACATCCAGAATCCCGATCGCTTACAACAACAAAAACCCCAAAGGTCAATTGCCATCGTAATTTGTCCACGCGGTGACGAAAGCTCGGATCGATTGGCTCCGACGTTGGGTGGTGGAGGGTTCTGGGGGGAAAAAAACAACTTCCTAAAATTGATATTAAACAACCACGCGATCATCTAATCCCAGCAAAAAAAACAATTGACTAAAATTGATATTATTCAACCACGCGATCACCTAATCCCAGCAAAAAAAACTAATTACTAAAATTGATATTATTCAACCACGCGATCACCTAATCCCAGCAAAAAAACAACTTACTAAAATTGATATTATTCAACCACGCGATCACCTAATCCCAGCAAAAAAACTAATTACTAAAATTGCCATGATTCAACCACGCGATCACCTAATCCCAGCAAAAAAACACAAAACGAATTATGGTCTTTGATTCTTTCGGTAAAGTCACGTAGGTATAAAATAAAACAAAATAAATCACGACGTTTCGGGCGCAACACATGCGTCCGTCATCAGGTGGGGAAGCATGGTCTGCTGCTGTGACTCTACCGAAAGAACCAAAGAGTATGGATTCCTGCAGCCACGAAAGCTTAACATCAATCACGAATTCTGACTCGTGATAGATATTGGTGGCGAAAGCCTACGTGTAAATTGATGCAAATGTGCTATATCGTAATGATTATTCATGACTTTAACAAGTAGTAGGAGGCTTTCGTGATCAATGTTATCCATAATAAAGTTTAATTGTTTGGGTTAGATCGCGTAAATCTAAATGTGTCGTTAAGCCCGCCACCACCCGACACGGCCCATTAGTGAGGTTCGTCACGTAAACAAAACGTGCCAATCAAGTTACTACTTCAGCACATACCGGTTGTGTGTTGGAGGAGAGTAAACCCCCACAACATTTAATACATTGAGTAAGGGTGGTGGCGGGTTTAACGACACATTTGATATTTACGCAACCACCCCCCAAACCCCAAAAAAACCCCCATTATTATTGATGATTAATTACGATTAACCACAATTAGTAATTATATTTGTTTATTTATTTTCACAGGTTTGACGGTGATCCCATCGAAGATCCCCTCCCCCCCGTGTCACCCGGTTTCCCGGGGAGGACGGAGTGAGATTTTAATTTCCGCACCGAATTCTCCGACTTTCAACTCAAATTCCATCCTCCTGGACGTCTTCTGAAAATAAATATATATACACACCACACACACACAAAATCAATTTTTTCCATGCATTGTTAAAATGTCACCGATATCATCAACGGTCTGATCTCACCACGCAAAAACAACAACAAATAAGGGTTAAGTTTAGCTTTCTGTTAAACGTCTTGGGGGTAGACACACACACGGGTAAAAGCGCAGCTCCCGCAATCGCCTGCTCGCGTCACTGCTGGAGGAAGGGGCATGCACTATAGGCCGCACTGCAGGTGCCCCTCTAAATAGATTGTTGTTGTGGTGTTCTTACCCCGTGCCGCTGCTGGACATCTATGAAAAATATATATTTTTTAGCTCATCGGATTCCCCCCGGCAAGTAAAAATCCACATTCTGATTCTGAGATTGGATGAGGGTTGGAGCTCCCGTGACACCAAACACGTTGCACGGTCCCCGTTATCGAGATTCCCTTCCACAATGTGATTCTTAAACGTACATTTAAAATATCTTGACGCACGAAACAAGGGGCACGGCTTAAGTTAACAACGTACAGCTATTGCTTGGGTTTATTTTTGTTTAAATATAATTTTTCTTGAAGTGTGTGCAGCTTCAGTAGGCATTCGGACATGAGCGAGTCACGTGACCAACAGCCATACTTCACCGCGATTCAGAGTAGCAACGCGCAGAGCGTTATGGAGACGGCCGGCAACTTCATGAGCATGCTGAACCAGCCTGGATTCAACCACCACCAGCAGCAGCAGCAGCAGCACTACCACCACCACAACCACAACCATCACAACAGTGGTAGCAATAGCCACGGTGTGGACAATGTTAGTGCTTTGACCATTGATGACGAGGATGGAGGTGGTGGTGGTGGTGGTGGTGGAGGAGGTGGCGGTGGTGGTAGTGGTGGCAACGATGCCTCCTCCTCCTCCAATCGGCGATCTTACATCGACGATGGCAACAGCAGCAGCAGCGGCAACAGCAGCAGCAGCAGCAGCGTCATGGATTCGATTCTCTGCCACGTGAACTCAAGAATGGAACCGCACGGTGTTCAGCAACAGCAGCATCATCAGCATCATCATCAGCAGCAGCAACATGATCAGCAGGATCAGCAACAACAGCATCATCAGCAGCAGCAGCAGCAAGGGAAGAGTCGGAGGAGGAAAGATGCGGGAGGGTTAAGAATTCCGGACAAGGCGAGCGACGAGTATCGACGGAGGCGTGAGCGGAACAACGTGGCCGTTCGGAAGAGTCGCTTCAAGAGCAAGCTGCGCGCAGCAGAGACCCTGAGAAGGGCGGCCGAACTGCGCGCCGAGAACGATCGGCTCACGGCCAGGGTTCGCCTCCTGTCGAAGGAGCTGAGCGTCCTGCGGGGCCTCTTTGGGGAGAAGGAGCGGCGGGGCGGCGAAGGAGGCGGTGGTGTAGGCGATGCGTTCGCATCAGCTGGACTCGGGGGAGAGGTATCGGATGAACTCGCGGTCTGTCAGCACCGCAGTGCCATGCTGCTGCAGGAGGCGTGCAAGGAGGAGGCGGACGATGATTTGGTGGTGAGCGAGAGGATGGCTGGCGGCGGTGGCAACGATGGTGGAGGTGGCGGCGGCGAGGTGGTGGGACGAGGGAGGAAGTCGCGAATTCACGACAGCGAACTCAAGCGAGAACACGACCTCCAGGTTCACGGGAGGGTGCAATACCAAGACCAACAATGTGTCACGCCGGCCGTGAACTTCTTGCAGCAACATCACCACCACCACCATCAGCAGCAGCAGCAGCAACAACATCAGCACCATCAGCACCATCAGCAGCAGCAACATCATCACCTTCACGAGATGCAAAGTGGACGCAGCCTGCATCCGTCTCACGGGCACGTCTCCAGTGACCTCCACGATCTGCTCTTTCCACCTCCCGCACCTCTCTACCTCGGAGGTCCTCACCGCGATTTCCTGCTGGGTCCGTCGGCGCCCTGGGCGGCTCCGCACAGGCAAAGCCCGGCGCGCGCCATCGTCGCGGCTGCCGCGGATTTCTGCGCGGCCTCCGCGGATTTCTGCGCGGCTCCGTCCGAGGTCGGAGGCGCGCCGAGGCACGCGTACGGCGACGAGTGAGCGTCATCTCGTGGCCACGAGGAGGCGGTGATTGGTGTTGGTGGTGATGATGATAGTGGTGGTGATGATGATGATGATGTGGGGAGCCGTGGCGTGGCGGTCAACGCGCCGTGCCACGAGACCCACGTGCGAGCGACCCCGAGATCGAATTCCGGCTCACGGTTACCAACAGCGGTGACGATTTTTTGAACCGGTCATGGGCCTCAACCCCTGGGTCGACTCAGCCTCAGATGAGTACTGTGCATGGCGCGCGACGTGGAATGATCGCCACTGGGAAGACAAAGGCGGACAGGATTGGTGCTGACCACCCGCCCCCTCGTGTGCCGTGCCGGCCTTCATAGGTGCGCGCGAACAGCACTTGTCACAAAAGTCTGTGAAGGCTACACGGGGAATCTTTGTCTTTGAAGATGATGATCACAAATTCATAACAATGATGCATTATTATGACGATGATGGTGGTGCTGATTGTCGAACAAAATAGGAACGAGGACGGTGATGGTGATGATGAGAGACACTTTAGAATTGTAATGATGGTATATGTGGCGGTCGTGGTAAACACATTTGAACGATGACGATGGTTGATGGTGGTGATGATCATGCACTAGGAACAACAATGATGACGATGGGCATACACACGATGATGATGGATGACGCTCAACAATAAGGAACAACTGGGGATGATGATACAAGTGATGATGATGATGGTGAAAAACTATCGAAACGCAGATGTTAGCGATGGTGGTGATGAGTAGTGGAGTACGGGGTTGTTGATGGTGGTGATTAAAATCTGAAATTGTGTTTCTGTACGTGATGGTGGATGATGTAAAGGAGTGGTGATGATGATGATGATGAATATTGCTCTGATGATGCATCTTTGTGGACAAAAGCGATAATGACGGTACTATTGATGGTGTTGGCAATGATGGTCGTGTTGGTGGTGACATTTACGCTGATGGTGGCGGCGGTGGTGTGATTGTTGGTTGATGCGTGTAGCTATGATGCCTTTACGATGGCGATGATGGTGATGCGTCTATGATAGGTACAAGCACCCAATACAGAGAATCGTCATGGTCGTCCACCATCATCTTCGTGTCTAAATGTTGGCAATTTCTCGACTCATCTCACGACCAATAAATAAAGAATGCACGCCACGTGGTGGTGGCGATGCGAATTTGCGACAACGGCGGAAACCGGCAGAAGGAAGGAACCGGTGACTTGGTGTGATTACAGCGATACGGTGTTCGCTCCTCGCTCTCGGAAAGAGAGAAATAAAGGGGGCGACTCAGAGAGAGAGGGGGGATGACTCAGAGAGAGAGGACAACTCGAGAGAGAGAGGGGCGACTCAAGAGAGAGAGGACGACTTGAGAGAGACATATGGGACGACTCTAGAGAGATTGACTCAGAGAGAGAGAGGACGACTCGAGAGAGAGAGAGAAAGAGGGGCGACTCGAGAGAGAGGGGCGACTTGAGAGAGACATAGGGGACGACTCTAGAGAGATTGACTCAGAGAGAGAGAGAGAGAGGACGACTCAGAGAGAGAGAGAGAGAGGGCGACTCGAGAGAGAGAGAGAGAGGGGCGACTCAATAGAGAGAGAGGACGGCTTGAGAGACATAGGGGACGACTCTAGAGAGATTGACTCAGAGAGAGAGAGAGGACGACTCAGAGAGAGAAAGAAAGGGGGCGACTCAGAGAGAGAGAGAGAGAGGGGACGACTCGGAGGCGCTGGGAGATGGAACCAAAGACGATTGGGAAGGCAGCAGCAGCTACGCGGGGACGAGCCGGCACTACCATTGTCCAAGTTCTACGGTCCTCTGCATAGTAAGGTGTTATCGGCCGTCGAATGAATGTGCATACATTGAGGAGGAAACCGCAACGCCTTGGTTTGTTGGTTTCAACACCTTGCTGTACCGCCATCAGCTGGCGAGTCTGGGTACGGCTCGCTCCTCTCGCCGCCCACCCCCACGGGGAGGGAGTGCGGACACCGGCTGTGTTGTGAGCGCGTGCGTGGTCCACCAACCCTCGCTGGTGCCTCCAGAGTGCTGCGGTGCAGGCAACCACGCGCGTAGCCATCACCACCGCCTCGACATCATCATCATCATCGGCATCACCACCCCCATCGCCATAATCGTGGGCATGGACTTACGGGGTGAGCATTTTCTCTCCTGGACAAAATGTTTAGAGGTGGAACCTTCCCGTATTTATTAACTCGGCTTAAACCCACACTTGTGTTGCTTGCGACTCCCGTTTTTGTTCTTTCCACTGCTGCATGATGATGAGGAGGAGGAGGAGGCGCCTCCTGCCGTCTCTGCGCGGATCATCCAAGGGCTTACTTTGACCATACTGCACCACTCTGGACAGTGCGGGTTGATGAATCATCCGAAATGCATCCGATCACGGAAGCGATGGTGTTTAAATTATTTTGAAATATATATACATAATGTAGGCGACCGATATGCATAACAGGTTGCTATCGGCTGCCACGATCGGGCTGCAGATTGGCGGGACAGTGGGGCAGCAGTGCAGCAAAATCAATTGTTGTACCGCGCCTCTATGTTCCCGACTTGTATTCCTCCCCGCGTTCACCGCCATACCCAAGCAGACCAGCGCGGTGAAGTATGGTCATTATACTTCCCACGGGCGGAGTTGTAAAGGCGTTCATACGGGCAGTGGATCTACAGGCCAGGCGACTTTGCGTGTAACTTGCGGCGACGGTAATACCCCGGTTAACGTCGGGGATGCGTTCCTGAAAGGTGCGGCGACGAATATCGAAACGCCGTTAAATCGAAGCGCTTGGCAGGGTAGGGAAGGGTGGTTGGTGGTTGGTGGTGGTGGTGGTGGAGGCGAAGGGGCTGAGAGGCGACGGATAACAAAAGACAGGACGGGCGGTGATGCTGTCGGCGACGTGAGTGTGGGGGTTGGGGCGACGCGACTCAGGTGGTGTTGTTAACAACGGGACGACGCAATAGCGAAACGACGTCAAATGGGGAGACTTCAATCGTGGTATTAGCGTGTCATATTTGTCGCTATGTTTGACTTCATTAGTACAGGATGGCCCACAAGTCAAGAGGCGTAGGGGTTATTATATTTATTTTAACACTTCACATATGGTTATTTAATTTATTGGAACACATGTTCAAACTGACTTCCTTGAACATGTATGTATGATGCATTAATTCTCGTTGAGGATCGTAGCGAGCGTTAATCAATTATGATTTAAGTCATACAGAGTTCTTGCTTGGTCGAGTGTTTGTAAAAAAAAGCATTATTAAAATATATTAATAATAGATAAATACATGAAAATATATTTCAATGTTAAAATAAAAAAAAAACATTATAATATTTAAATATATACAACTGTAGCTTATTAATGATAATAAAAACATATATTTCAATAATGATAGATTAAATATTAACGTGAAGTATAGTCAATTACAGTTTTAATGCCAGTATTACATTCAACCAAACAACCCTATGTGTCGTGACTTCTGGGCCGCTGTAAATGTGTGGGATTTTCCTTTGCGACACAATATTTAAGGACCTTATTTAATATATATCGTCAATTGTTGACAACACGTGAAATCATATTCAAGAATGTAAAATATTCCATTTGATGGACGTAATAAAGCATAACTGAAACACGTTATTCTTTAAACTTGTATGTACGTATGTATGTATGTAGGTTGAACTTCTTTTGCACCGTACATAGCCAACCGCGTTCATCGGAGGTGCGGAGGAAGGACAACAAACTAAAAGATAATTTTTTTTAAAGAAATACGTTTTCAATATGTTGTCGAAAATCGAAGATATGCGAATGAAGTGCGTTTTTATAAAAAAAAAGTACTCTCCATTTTCGAAAATGAAACATTTACAAAGTCATCGGACGAAGCAAAACGTATCGTGCCGTAGTAACCACGCGTGTGCTTCAAGTCGCTACATCGTGGACAGTGGTTTCGGATCCTAGGAGTCCATCAGCAGTGTTGTGGCCACTTTCAAGAAATGCCACAAGGGTTGCGTGCCAGCCCTTTCGAGTCACGAGATGCGTGTGTCAGGTACAGCAAGGTGGTACAAAATGTGTTTACGAATGTATGAAGGTATAAACATTTACACAATGCAAACGCTGTGATCTTTGATTGCGGGGTCTCAACAAACGTTTGTTATTCCCATCGTGATAAGAATTTATAACTCGTGTTTATTTTATATATATATTTTACTCGCTGGTAAAATATTCCACGAGTTTATTGTTCAGGGATGTCCTGGACAAAAAAACAAAACCCGCGATAATAAGATAGAAGCGCAGTCCCTGCAATTGCCTGCTCACGCGTCTTCCGGCGGGAAAAGGGCTTCCCCTAAAGGCCACTACAGAGAGAGAGAGAGTCCCTCTGCAGATTGTTACTCGGCCTACTCCTCCACGCTCGCCAGACGTCCTGTGGAAGAGGTGGGGCAGTATCCACACGTTTCCCCGATCGCACGTGGCCAGCTGATTGAGTGATCTGCTGTGGGAGTGTTGCGAGCGAGTCCCGAGTGGGCATTTTTTAAATTTTTTTTTATGAAATTGCCGCCGCCCAGGGAGATTGAACGCGCTGCTACCGACCTCTGGCGTGCTGACCGTAACCCATCACTCTGTGGTGGCAGTAACACAACGGACTCGGATCTCAGCCGCACAAGTTATGTTGGTGGTGCTACTGCTGCAACTGGTGGTAGTGCACAAGCAGAGTGAACAATCACAACAAAGTCAACAACGCGTGCCGTGTCAATAACAACACTGGGTAGGCTTGTGTGGCTTTTAAAGGGGGGGGTGGCAGAGAATATATTAAGAAAAACACACAGTGCTTCACAAAAACGTTAACACTTACACGGGACTATCGTTTTTAACGGAAAAAGAAAGGATAATACACTGTAACATGATAACGAATGTACGTTAATAGCTTGAAAAAGCAAAAGAGTCTCCCACTTGTTCGCCATCGTTGTCAACACGTGGCCTGGAATCTTCTTCAGGTGGTCTCCAGAGCCCGGAGATAGCAGCACATGTCACGTGGTGTTTGTTGCAGACTCTCGGAAGTGTTAACATGTTTTTGAAGCACCCCGCATAATTTCGTCTGTTCTCCTCTAACGCGATAGTGCCTACGTTCCTGAAGAACACCTTCGTGATGGAACAATCGCGTTTGAATAAATATTACGTAACAATGGGGGGGGGGGGGGGGGGGCAAATCACAGTCCACGGTAACGCGCGAAATGCGTACGCAGGCCGAACAAAGACTGAGGTTGCGTGGGGTAGCATCTAGAAGAATCCAGCAGCATCCCATCGGCTTGTGAGACGATGCTACGCCGAGGTAGCCGCTAAGACCGCTTATTGCCGCTCGCGCTCTGAAGTAGTTCTGTTCACTCGATCGCGTTATATCCAATTCGCATTCCGTGTTATTAAAAAAGAAAGTGTTCCCCAATACATCCATCCCGCTATGTGCAATTCGCGTTATAAAAACAACAAGCAGGCTTATAGGAGAACGGACTGCAGGCGATGTCTTTTTTCGGTGCTGTAAAGAAGGGTTCATTGCCCGAAACGTCGCCTATGTGACCACGTGTCACCTGCAACCTGTCTAGCAGTGGGAGTTGAAGCCCTCGGTATGCGTGGGGTTATCAGGATTCTATTTTTGTTAACAAGACATTTCTCAATGAGCATATCTGCCAAATCTTGCCTTAAAGGATAAAAGACATATCTAAGCCAATGTAACTACTTGAACGTATTTTTCGTCCGTGTGTGAACTTTGTATGTATGTATGTTGACCTTCTTTCGGCAGGTACATAGCCAACCGTGCTAATACGGAGGTGCGGGCGAAGGGCAACTAACAACACACTAAAAAGAGTTCTTCAGAAACGAGTTTGTCAATCTCGACGATGATGTAAAAGTGCATAGCTCCCAGTGGCTTCCGAATATCGGAAGGAAGAGCGTTCCAGACGGCTGCAACATCAACATCTCCACCACCGCCATCACCACCATCAGCACCATCGTCATTAACATCTCCACCATGATCATCATCAACATCTCCATCACCACCATCAACGTCAACATCTCTACCACCATCATCATCAACATCTCCACCACCATCATCACCACCGTCACCACCATCAACGTCAATATCTCCACCACCATAATCATCATCATCATCACCATCTCCACCACCAATATCTGCACCATCATCAGCAACATCACCACCATCACCACCATCATCGTTAACATGCCACACTTCCTCATCATGCTGGTACCTCCTCATCAACATCACCCCAATCATCATGTATGTAAGTTGGACTTCTTTCGCACCGTACATAGTCAACCATGCTAATCGTAGGTGCTGGGGGTGGGGGGTGGACAACAAACTAAACACGACAACAAGCAGCTCTGAAGAAATGCGTTTTCAATATCACCCACCAGTTCTTGAAGAGGTGAGTTTT